GGTGGTTCCCAGTGACAGGACGAGGGGCAGTGGGCACAAGTTGGAGCAGAGGAAGTTCCGTGCCAGCAGATGGAAGAACGTCTTTGCGGTTGGGGTGACAGAGCGCTGGCACAGGCTGCCCAGGGGGTGGGGGAGTCCCTTCTCTGGAGGTTTTCAAGACCCGCCTGGATGCAGTCCTGAGCGATGTGCTCTGGGCAGTCCTGCTTTAGCAGAGGGGTGGGACTGGGTGAGCTCTGGAGGTCCCTTCACACTCTGAAAATTCTGTGATTCCCCTCAGCTGATATCTGGAACGTCAGAGCCAGCCTGGTGTTTCTGCATGCTCCGAGTTATACCAGTGCTGGGAAAGGGGGACAGAGACAATGACCTACTGGAAACTTAAGGGCAGCCAAATCTGGTGGGCTGAAGGACATGGGGATTTGCCCCCTCCTGGGCTGATCAAGATGAGAGGCTGGTCCTCAGCCCTCTTTCCCAGTCCTACCGGTAGCAGTAAGGCTGAGTGTGAATTCCCAATAGGTGCACGTGCAGACACGTGTGCGCGCACACACACGCCGTACAGACGTGACCAGCCGCACACACTTCAGCGCAGACACGGGAGTGCCGTGTTTGCGGGCACAGGCAGCATGAACAGCCGGATCCTGCTTCTACGTATCGATGCTCAGGGCAGTCCCTGTCACAGGTCACTGCGGCGTCTGGCTCTGTCCCGTGGGTCTCCCTGGTATCGACCAGACCCGTGGTCTGTCTGGTATCTACACCCCCTCCCTAACCCTTCATCTCACTTACCAGCTAATCCAGCTTGACGTTCACCAGAGGACCACGCGCGCTCACAGGGAATAGAGAGCAAACTTACACTGTAAATAGGAGTAGAGTTCAAAAAGAGGACAGCATAGACCGAGGTGGGCAGACGCGGGGCTCAGCCAGACAAGCGCACGGACCAGCAGAGCGCTTACCAGCAGCTGGTCCCTTTCATCCCCCTCCGTTTTCCTCCCTGGCCCACCGCAACCCCTCCCTTCCTCTTCCTTTGGCCAACCCCCAAAACATCCTGTTAATAAGTTTGTACACTCCCCAAATTCTCTTGTTTGATCTCAGAACTCCCCCAGGCATCTCAAAGTAAATCCCACCCCCTTGGATGCAGTAGCCCCCTTGTTCTCATGGTGTCCCAGAGAGTTTCTTCTGTTGAGCCTTCAGCATCAGACGGCATCGCTGGTCACCTCTGGAGGTCTTTGGGGAGCTGATTTGGAGGGGTTAGGCTGTGCGGGTGCCCAGCCTGGCATCTTCCTTCTGATCATTCTTTGGTCCTTGCGCCTGTTCTGAACAGCCCTAGCCTGATACCGGTACAGAAACTGCACAGAGCAGTTAAAGAGGACGGGCCCCACGCCGGAGCGTGCAGAAGAGGCAGAGGGATCTTGCTTTTCTGCCATCAGTGAGCAGAAGCGGGCAGATGCATCCCTCCCGTGCTGCCGCTGTTCAGAAATGCTTCCCGCTGGCCCCGTCTGCCCTTTCTCCAGTCTCCTACCATCATTCCTGGTGGGCTGCTGCTCCCAGAGCTGATCCTGGCTGGGGCTGCCGGGACACACCGCTGCCTCTTCTCCGTACAGCCCTTTGCTGGGCTGCACGGCAGCCTCCTCCCTGGGTGAGAGCCAGCAGGGAGCAGAGGTCCCCTGGCCAGGCTGTTGGTGGGTACCCAGCGCCACGCTGCCCGCCCGGAGCTCGGGGTGCTCTGTCCGCTGCCCGCCCTGCCCTGGGGCTGTCTCCTGGTCCAAACCAACACTCAAATCTGCTTCCTGGGAAACGCAAGTGTGAGGGGGAGCTGGGGCTGGTAGCGGTGGGGATGAAGCAGGGGAATGTCCTGTTTTGCCTCCACCTTATACCTTTTCTTTGACCCTCAGGAGTTCATTCTGTCGTGCTTGACCCTCAACCCAGACAAGCGACCAACAGCGAACAACCTGCTTTTCCACCGGGTGCTCTTTGAGGTCCATTCCCTCAAGCTGCTGGCGGCGCACTGCTTTATCAACAACCAGTGTGAGTAACCGTGAGACCACCCTGCCCCATCTGAGCTTGTACAGATGCCCCAGCAGAGCTGGGGATGTGGAGGAGCCCGGGGAGAGGGGCAGTGACACGTAGATCTTCCCTGAGGTCTGTGCTGCAGCGTCCACGTTACAGGACCCCCCCAGCCAACAGTCCCTTTCTGCATTTGCCCTAGATCTGATGCCAGAGAACGTGGTGGAGGAGAAGATAAAGGAATTGGACCTGAACATGGTGATGGCAGAGATCCGGAGAGAGGGTCGGCCTGGAGCACAGTGGAGGTGAGGATCAGTGGGGGAGATTTTGTAGTCATGAGCCCAGGACTTGAGTCCAGCCTGGTGATCCTGGTGTCATGGCGTAGTAGTCCTTCGCAGTGTTCCTGCCTCTCCCCGTCATCTCCCTGTCCTGTTTCTCTCCCAGGTACTCGGAGGTCTCCTTCCTTGAACTCGACAAATTCTTAGAAGATGTCAGGTGGGTTGAAGGTGTTGCTGGCTGACCTGCAATGTGTCTGCCCAGCTCGGGTCCCCTGCGTCTCTCTGCCCTCAGCTCCCTGGGCGGCGTGGAGCCAGGGTCAGGGGACTGCTGCAGCGCACACAGAGTGTCCCCTTTGCACAGCAGCACTCGGTCCTGTGCGAACCCCTCTGCGGTACCACCCGGGGCCAGCAGACCTGGTGCCGGGGCGAGGGGAGTTTTGTGGCCTGCCACCTCCTCACCCTGCTGCCCACCACGGGTGCACATCCCTGGTCTGGGCCATGGCCCTCCACAGCTGACCTTTGCCAGGGCCGTAAGAGGACGGGGCTGAGCTGTTCGTCCTCCCTCTGTGTCTGTACCAGGAATGGGATTTATCCCCTGATGAACTTCGCTGTTTCCAGACCCCACGCCCTCCCACGCGTACTCTCCCAGCCCCAGGAGGACCCTCAGAAAGCCAAGACTCCCACCCCAGAGCCCTTTGATGTGGAGACCAGGAAGGTAAGGTCAGATCCAGGGGGGGACAGATTGTCCACTGGGAATAGGTGGACGGTCCCCATTCCTGACACCCTATTGCAGGAACGCCTCTCCCTTTAGCCACGCGCTGAACTCCAGCCTGGGTGAGAGCTGTCCTCCTCGTTGCATTGGCTGCCCCAGGACTGCGGCAGTCCCTTTGCCCAAAGCTAGTGAGGTCCCTTTCACCCGAGACCTCCTGGAGCAGCCCCATTGCCTCTGATTCTTTGGCTCTGCCTTCCCTCCTTACACATCCGCAGGCAGCTCTGTGGCACGGCGTGTTCTGTGCCTCGTAGCCGACGTGTAGGTTTGAAATCCCATCGTGGTTTGATTCTGACGCTGCAGCGGCATGCTGAGATGCCAGCTGAGCTGTCTCGGTTCCGCCTGGCACTGCACAGGGGAGACCGCACACCCTGACGCTGAAGTCGCGGGCAGGAAGGTCACTGCAAGTGGTTTTACGGAGCCCCGAGGGGAGCGGAAGGGGTGCCGGGCAGGGAAGGACCCACACAGCACGAGGGTGTTTGAGCAGAAGTGAAGCCTTCCGAACCCACGGTGTAATCCCTCTCTGGACAGAGCAGTCTAACGCTGCGGCGTAACCCCCTCACGGGTACGGGCAGCCTGCTGTTGCGTCCCCCCAGAGCCTCCCCTCCTCCAGGCTGAACAAGCCCCGTTCCCTCAGCCTCTTCTCAGAGGGTGAGCCCTCCTGCCCAGGATCGCTTTGGTGGCTCTCCATTGAACTTGCTCCAGTTTATCAACGTCCTTCTTGTTTTGGGGGCCCAAAATTAGATACAGTACCTGGATGTAGTTTAACAAGCGCTGAGTAGAGGGGGAATAATTACTTCCCTCAGTGTCCTGGCTGTGCCCCAGGATGCTGTTGGCCTTCCTCGCTGCCAGGACACGTTGCAGCTCGTGTCCCGCCTGCTGCCCACCGTGACCCCAGAGTCTTTCCAGCAGAGCCAGTAAAGCTTTCCTGCCAGCCAGGCAGCACCAGACTGAGTCCTTGCCAGGGATTACTCCTTCCCAGGAACAGGACAGGGACAGGAGTTGGCGCTTGTCGTTTGCTGACATGCATATGGGGACACAAGGTTGTTGGCCACCATCATCAGGGCATAGCTCAGGCACAGCGCTTCCTACCATGGCTTCTGTCTCCTGAACGGTGTCCATCGTTGAGAGCAGTCAGAGGAACTCATCGGGCTGTGCGCACCTCTCTTAAAAACCCATTTTGTACCTGGTATTTCCCTGTGCGGGTATTTCCCTGTAATGACACTTCTAGTCATTCACCGCGAATCACCTATGGCACTGTCTTTGTGTTACTGCGGGTGATGGGGATGCAATTTCATACTTGCATTAAAATAATGTTAAAAATACTGTGTAGGGCTAAACCTAATCCTTATTCCAGCAAGATGCCGTGAAATGCCTTCCTTCACAAAGCACATCCGCAGTGGTTTCTTCGTATCTGTCTGAGAATCAGCTCTCAGTGCACTTAACTTATGCTTTATTCATACTGCTCAGTGCTTATTTTTAGTGAGAGTGCTGTGGTGATCAATCGGATACGTTAGAGGAATGTAAATGTAAACTTACGCAGTGATGTCTTTTCCCCTCTCTGCATTTGTTATATGCTGTTCTTTCACCTCGTGCCCCAAGGTCAGTTCTGCAAGTGCATTGTCTGTCTGACCAATGTGTTCAAACGAGTAGTTTTTACTCAATTTGACAAAGGACTAGTAATGTCAGAGGCACTGAGTTTCTACAGATGTGGTGAAAACTTGCAGCTGGACAAACCTGCAAGTCCCAAATGAGTGTAGACTACAATGCAGACTCTGTCTGTCCTGGGAGGCACCAGAATATGGACGCTGGATGGATCCAAGGAAATTTTTTTTCATGGTGATGATGGTTGAACGGTGGACCAGGGGCTGAGAGAGGTCGTGGGATCTCCTTGGAGGTTTTCAAAACCCAATTGGGCAGAGCTTTTAACATCCTGGTCTGAATTCACTGTTTGTCTCATTTTGAGCAGGGGCTTGGACTAGAGACCTCCTGATGTTCATAGAATCATAGAATGGTTTAGGTTGGAAAGGACCTTGAAGATCATCAAGTTCCACCCCCCCTGCCATGGGCAGGGACACCTCCCACCAGCCCAGGTTGCCCAAGGCCCCCTCCAGCCTGGCCTTGAACCCCTCCAGGGATGGGGCCTCACCAGCCTCTCTGGGCAACCTGTCCCAGTGCCTCACCACCCTCACAGGGAAAAACTTCTTCCTCATGTTCAATCTAAACCTGCCCTCTTCCAGTTTATAGCCATTCCCCCTCGTCCTGGCACTCCATGCCCCAGTAAAAAGTCCCTCCCCACCTCTCCTGGAGCCCCTTTAGGGACTGGAAGGCGGCAATAAGGTCTCCCCGGAGCCTTCTCTTCTCCAGGCTGAACAGCCCCACCTCTCTCAGCCTCTCCTCATAGGTTCCTTCCCATTTAAATGATTCTTTGATCACGGGCATCAGGGAGAGAGGTGGGGAGCACATGGCAATGATGCACTCAAACGTCATCAGCCTCATCTTTGCTGATGTCTGCAAGGTGCTGTGTGGTTCAGTGTAATTCGGCATATAAAGGAGCCCATGGCCAGACAGCGTGTAAGGGAAGAGCACGCACCTCGGGCATACAGTCATGGCTCTTCCTGCAGAAATGGCTGCTCTGGAGATGGTGAAGGGCAGAGGACAGCGAGTTTCCTCACCGAGAGTGCTAAACGCTCAGGGATGTTCGTCCTCAGGAGGAGCTGTAGTAGAGGGGTGCTGGGTCAGAGGAGGGAACAGGTACATAACTCACCTCTCAGCATAAGCCTGAAATCGAGGACTATAAAGGAAACCCCGTTGAATTCTGCATGGAACAGGGATGTCGATTCCTCGCTGGGTTTCCTGTCTTTTGGGATGACCAACTGCATGCTCGCTCTGGCTCTCCTTTGCCCAGACAACACGACTTCTGGTGGGAACCATTTTCATGGGAACCTGAAGCTGACATATGGGAGCTTGAAGCCGACCCAGTTCCTTCATAGGAACTTGATAACAAAGTGCCATATTTCTCTAACACATTTGGATGTTCTGCAATGCAATGTGGGATTTCCAAAAGAAAATCCCTATGACATTTTAGTAATACTCGAGGTTTCAGTTTTGCTCTTCCGTCTGGTTTAAGGGTTGGTCATCCCCTAAGGACATGAACGAGTACAATATTAAAACGTAACCAAGAGTTTGGGCAGAGTTTTAGGGGGAAGCCTACCCCTGGCAAATGGAGAAGAAGAATCCATCCTGGTTGTAAAGTTTTCTCAGAACTGCACCTTGCGTGGGGCTCCCTTTCCCACCTCTCAACTGGCCGACGATGGCCACGGTGCGCAGGGGGATATTGGACTAAATCAACCCTCGGCTGCTCCACCCAGACAATTCCTAGGAATGCGGGAAGAAGGAGCCGGTCAGGTTGGCAGCTGAAATTAAGGGGTTTGAGTAGGAATTTGAGAGTCATGCTTGGAGAGCAGAAGTCAAACAGGCCTGAGGGAGCCAGAGGGACTGTGTCGAAGCTGATGGTGATTTTTGGCCCCTTCTAGGTGGTGCAAATGCAATGTAACATGGAGCTGAATGAAGACAAGACCCAGTGGCACGTAAGTATTCAGTTCCTATTCTGCATGAGGCCCTGGGGCAAGACCTGCTCTCTGTACCCATCTCTGGCATCTGGACCCATCTCTGGACAAAGTTTGGTCTCAGCTAGTTTCCTGCAGTACCCAAAGGACTTACTCTTGTCCCTTTAATACTAAAAGAAGCCCGAAGAAGAACAAAGCCACCAGCCTCCTCTGGCTGCAGAACAGGCAGACCTTGACACTTAATAGTTGTAGGTTAGCTGTAACTGTTGAGAGAACATTCCTGTAAGACACTCAGACTACCCTGCCAAAGACATCCAGCATCTCGGCAGTCACCAGCACCCTCCCTGCTCACCACCGCCGGCAGTTGCTAGTGCTGATGGAAGAGTCAGCACCTTTCTCTCTTATGGAGAAACTCATGTTTGTAAAGAGTGCTCTCTTCTTTCTGCAGCTTACTCTTCTGCTGATCCTGGAGGACAAATTGCATCGACAGTTGAGCTACGACTTGCTGCCCAGTAGGTTTACTTGCAAGTAAATTTTTGTGCATGCGTGCAGAAGTATTGCCTGGTGGCCCTGGTCAGGTTTAGGCTCAGGTTCTGTCACACAGATGGTGTTTACAGCCAGCTTTTCTTTCCTTCTTGTCCTCGGAGACCAGGCTGAACCCGAATATCCGTGTGGTACCAGTTCTTGTCCCCTCAGACCCTGAGCTTATAGCCTCTGGCGTGCGGTGGTAACCGCACTCTAAAGTGAACTTTGGGGGTCCAGGGAGTGGCCATCAAGACCATGCATTTCACCCTGGGACACGTGGCATGCAGCTCTTGGGGTAACACGAGTGAATTCTTACCTCACTCCCAACCAGAGACGGTTCAGTCTCCGCAATCTGTTTCAAAGGAGAAGGTGGACTCTCCTCTGAGGGAGCCCCAGGGCTCCGGGGAAGGGTGCTTCTCCTCAGGGTAGGTCCAGTACCGCAGGCTCCTTCCTAAAACATGCAGGAGCCTTCTGGAGGCCACGCAGCTGGAGTCCTTTGCCTTCCACCCAAAACTAAAGCATAAAGCTTGGAAAGTAACGCTTGGGAGTTGCTGTTTCACCAGCTCCTTGTGTTTTCCTGCCTACAGGTGGTGGCCTGCCTGCTTTTCACGCTGAGCCAAAACAAGCAAAAAAACTCTCCGAGTGACACATTGCCAAGACTATTGTGCTTTGTGCGATTTGGGACTGGAGCTCATTCCTCATTCCTGCCCCGTACCCTGTTCAGCTCCCGCTCACTGCCCACCTCTGCTCTGCCCCGGGATTGCTTAGCGGTTATGGCTTAGTGATTCCTTTGCCCACCAAAAGTAGACAGCACGTGCCCCTGGGGCGCAGTGAAGGATAATGCAGGTGGGGTTGGGATAGGGGCACTGGTGGAGGAGGAACCAGATGTCTGAATTTTCATGTTCTCACTGTTCCTTGCCTCTGCAGCCGATAACTCCAAGGACTTGGCCACAGAGCTGGTGCATTACGGATTCATCCACGAGGTAAGGCTCCTGCCGCTCCTCCTCATCTCAGTCGCACCCGCACCGCGCTGCCAAGTGTGGTCCCCAACTCCGTGTGATGCCTCATTGCTCAGAGGAGCACCAGCTCCTCCGTTCCCCCTGCAGCAGCCGGAGAGCGGTCACGGGGCCAGCCTGCACCGCTGTGCCCAGCTCGCGCCACCGCACTGAGTGACAACACAGCCTTTTTTTGCTGTTTTTTTTTTTTTTCCTCCATACTTTGCTCGTGCCTAACTCCAGGTTGCTGTTTTGAGGGGACAGTCGTGTTGTGATGGCAGGGTTAATTACATCAGCCTCGCAGCGTGAGAACCAGGGGAGTGCCAAGGGAAGGAAGTCGAGGCCACCTCCCATTTCCCACAGGAATTGCCCCAACAGCCGATGTTGCCTGCACGGCCGCTCGTAACTCACTTTGCAGATTTGTGCCCGTCAGAAGGGATGGCCGACCCCGACATCGCACTCCTGGGCGCTCCCTTAGGTGTTTGCAGACAGTCCCAAGAGAGAATTCAGAGCAGCCCGGTCATGCCGACTGTTCAGCAGCACAGCCTCAAGGAAAGGCAGCGGGGGGCAATTAAAAATATATTTATCTTTATTTTGTACAAGTTCAGAATTCTGGGGCTGTAGGCAAAGTTTTGGAGAATTCCTCATTCTGGATGCTGACATTAGCCAAGGAAGGGGTCAGCCTCACTGAGTGAAAAATGTATGTGAGTACACCTGGAAAAAAGTACTTTTAGACTTTCTTCCTTTCTTCATGTGAGCATGGTGACGGTGCAGCTTGGCACTGACATTCTGGGGTGCTTTCTCCTGTGCTCTGGAAAATACGTGGCATTTGCGGCAACCTAGTACTGCAGAGTATACCTCACACAGGTCCATGTTCCACGGACTGAATTACCGTTCTCCTTCTTCCTCCTAGGAGATAACCTTCTTTTAACACCTCTTCCCCTCTCTAACATCTTTTCTACTCCACAGGTACCAACTACCTTTTCCCTGAGATGGTGTAACTGATTTGTACTGCGTTAAACTCTGAGCAAATGTCCTCAGCCTGTGTTTAGCTTGAAAGTATGCTGCTTGTGTCTGATCTGAAGGACTTGTGTATCCAAATGCCTGTCGGGTTTTCCAACTGTAGTGGTCGGCCTAACAAAAGATATCATCTATGCCGTACAAATCTTGTCTTCAAAATCCAAAACTAGTAATTTAGCAGCTGTAGTGACAAAGGGTTGCCTCTAAGCAGCAAGAAAACAACTGATTCTGCATTTTTCATTTGAGTGAGAATTTTGGTTTTGGCAATTCTATCACCCCTCTGTGATACAAGGTGGGGATGTTTTGCATCCTTTACATATCGTTGCGTATTTCAGTAATTTCTTAAGGAGTAAACATTCTTATTACGTTAGAAACCACCTACTCCTGAATTTGTCAGAAAAGAGATTTCTGTACAAAATAGTTGCCAGACCAACAAAAAGTTACGTTAATTTTTGGTTTTGTTAGCAGTGAGGATATAATAAAACAGATGGCCGTAGAAAACAACTTTTGATCCAGTGGTCAGTTAATTAAGTTGAAATTAAACTAAACAAATGAAGCTGGACCTATTAGTTCCTTCAGATTGGAAGCTCCAGAGAGCTGTATGCTCTCTTGTCTTTATATTGCACCTGACACAAAAAGGCCCTATTCTTGATTGGACATTTGGCGTTATCCATAAATATGATAATTATTAGTAACATGTTCCAGATGTGCTTGTGAGTTGTTCTCTTCCCATATCAGAACTTGGGTGTGAAATCGGTGGCTTGGGATGGAATCATGTAATGAAGGAGATGTCCAAGGCCGCCAAGCCAAATTGATCTGTTGGTGTGTTTTTGTCTTTTATTTTAGGATGACTGTGAAAAGCTGGCTAACTTCCTGGAAAACGCCTTCCACAAATACCGGTCTTCTCCCTTGTGAGTCGCCTCACTGCAGTCTGGCACAGAGTGGTCCTCTGTACACGGGGGGACGGGAAGTGCACCAGACTAGAAGAAACTGCGGGGCTCCTGACCGAACTTCCTCCAGCAGGACTGACCGGGCACTCGCTCCCGACTGACCCTTTGCAGTCCGTGAGACGTGTGTGCCTGAGCTGTGGTGTGAAAAGGCAACAGCAAGTGGAGGAGTATTCAGCAAACACAAGAAATTACACGTGCATCATGATGAGAAGCCGGGACCAAGCAGGAGGACATGTTCTGGTCCCGACTCCTGAAGCAGCACGCCAAAGGGAGTTGCGAGGTGCGGGGGAGCGGGCTGGCACCCCCTGCAGCCCCTTCCCAATGGTGTTTGTGAAGACACAAAGCTGCTGCAAGAATCCCCCAAAGTGATACATTTCCCTCTGGGAATGATAAGCTTTTTTCACTGCAGGTCCCAAAGCTATTTTTTTCCTCTTTGCCAGCTGGTAATACTTGCAGAAGGGAGGAGAGGAACAGGCTTGGAAAGCTCTGGCGCAGTTTCCGATCTGCCACGTTCCATTCTTTATAGCCAGTTTCTCCTGTTTCGTTAAGGTTTCCCCAGCACAGATGAACCACTGTGATGCCTTGTAATTAGAATTGCACATCTTGGTGTGAGCTGAAGAGAGGACTTTGTGAGCTGGACTTGATATGGCATGAGAAGAAATACCAGAAATCCAAACCCACCAGCTGGATCCAAACATGCGGATCAGCAGAAACCTCACTGGTGCTGAACAGAACCCTTGTCATTCCCCAGTTTGTCTTACGGCCTTCCAAAAATCTCATGGCATCTTAAGGGGAAAAACCCTGATGTCTCTTCCTTCCCTGTTTCTCCTGTAGTGTTTGGAACTTCAGTCATTAGCCTGGAGAAGGGGGCGATCATCTTAACTGCTGCGCACGTCAGGTTCAGTTGGTGAAAAGTGCAAATAGGAATTATGTGTGTCGCAAAAGCCATGCAGTGCTACTCCATGCTGTTCACGTCGTGCCGTGCGGAACCAGCGGTATCGTGCTGCTCTGTGCTGCTGCTCTGCGCTGTGCCAGGTCCTGCCTGCGGTGCTGCCTGCGTTACGCTGCCCGTGCTTTGCGGTGTTGCACCAATTGTATCACGCCGGGCTGGGTTTGCCATGCTAGGATGCTATGCTGAGCTGCCAACTTGTGCTGTGTTTCCCAGTTGTGCTATGCTGTGCCAACTTTACAAACTGACAAATCAATAAAGCCACTGAAAGTAGCTTGTCTCATCAGGGCGCGCTCCGCTCAGCAAACCGCTTGGTAATTTCTCAGTCACTTTTAACAGTAAAACCAAGAAGATGTGAAATAACTCCCCTGAGTTCAACAGACTTATCCACAAAGTTGGGCAAAGGGGGTAGAGAGGGAATTCAGTGGAGAAATATCATACAGCTGCTTGATTCAGAAATCGCTCTCCTGAACAAGTTTGCACTTGCCTCTGCAAACTGAGAAATTCCTTCGTATACCAATGCTTCATTTCCCTGATGAGCTATTTAGCTCTTTAACACGTTTCACCTGCCTAAATTCATGGTTTGATTTAACATCGCCGCAGCTCAGTTTGTCCAGTGGATTTCCCTGCTGCTGGCTGTGCTGCACTCAGCAACGACGAGTTCACTAACCGGCTACTGCCGGGCGTCTCCAATGCGGGACAGGCTGCGCTCACAGAATCACAGAACAGTTGATGTTGGATGGGACCACTCGAGATCTCAAGAGGTCCCTTCCAGCCTCTGTGGAGGGTGCCCCGAGAAGCTGTGGCTGCCCCATCCCTGGAGGTGTTCAAGGTCAGGTTGGACGGGGCTCTGAGCAACCTGGGCTGGTGGGAGGTGTCCCTGCCCGGGGCAGGGGGGTTGGACTCAATGATCTTCAAGGTCCCTTCCAGCCTAAACCATTCTGTGATCATCTAGCCCAACGTCCCCTGCTCAAGCAGGGTTAGCTAAAGCAGGTTGCCCAGGACCACGTCTAGTCAGGTTTGAGTATCTCCACAGATGGAGTCTCTCTGGGCACAAGCTGTTCCCGTGTTCAACCCCTCTCACGCAAGACAAGAATGTTTTCCTACATGGAATTTCTCATTTTTCGATTTGTGCCCATTGCCTCTTGTCACTGGGCATCACTGGGGAGAGCCTGGCTCCATCTTCACCCTCTCACCAGGTACTTGCACACATTGCTGAGATCCCCCCGACCTTCTCTTCTCCAGGCT